AGAGCTCCAGCATGAGAGCAGCAGGGCGAGGACTGCAATCTGGCAGCATAGGAAAGGGTTACCATAGTGGAAGCAGAAGTTAGGAGTACAGCTGACCCAGAGGGCTGGACCCAAAATTATTGCATGTGCAAGATGGAGGCTCCATCTAGCTTCACGGAGGGAGAAGTTTATCAGATGGATTTCAACCCCGGGATCTACCTGGAAACATACTACAGCCTCGGTGCAAGTCACTGCAAAGGAAACAAGATCCTGACACTCAACCTGAGAAGCCTGTGTGAGATGTTCGCTTTAAGTGAGTGTCACACAGCACACTGCATTGTGTTTGGCAGGGAATAATTTCCAAGTCCTAAGAAGGCCCATTTCCTTGTTGTCTGAGCTAACACAGGTACTATCTCTAATGGGGAATTCAAGGCTGGATAAGGTAGGAAGACCTGCAGCGGGTTCATGTTCATTAATGCACCTTAGATACTGTGCATTTATTTTAGTACTTCCTTAATAAAGTACTAACTAAATGCACTAAAGTTACAGTGCAGTAGCATGGGCACAATTATTTAGTGATGCTAACTGCACATTACCTGAATAAGACTGCGCAGTAGACTAATAGCACGTTTTTTGCCATGACAAGCTACTGCACAGTGTTATTAGGCTAATGTGCAATAAGTGTCTTGTGTAGACACACTTGGGAAGTGCCAAGGCATGTCTAGGGGCCTGGAAACACCCCCGCCTCCCCAATCTTGGTAGCAACAGGTGTGGGGCCAGGACAGGTCACCGTGCATCGCACTACCCGCTCCTCTCTGCAGCCATGGGCAGTATCTCAAAGTCTGTTAACCCCACATGTCACTACGCTGCCAGCATACTGGCTACTTACTGGGCTTCACCCATGTCCACATGGGAGGCAGTCTCCATTCAAGAGAGGTGGGGATGGATTAGCAGGTGGTGCTGGCACCAGCAATTAAACCTTTCACTCTCCCGCCACCCCACCCCACAGGAAGGTACAAGTAGCCTCTGCATCCTGTTCCTAAATGATTTTCCTTGCCCTTTCCCTTCCTAAGCTGAAAAATACAGCAGGCAGCCAAGTAGGTAAAGCCTGTCCTGCATCAGTCTGGACAAAGTCCCATGCTGAACTGCTTTAGGATAGGTAAAGACTAACCCAACCATGTTTAGAGGCCTGCCCTGACACCAGGGGCCCAGAGCAGTGGGTGCTGTGCAAAAACCCAGGAAGCAATTGTCCTGACCCCATGTCTGTACAGTCAGAATAGATGGGACAGGCTCCTTATTCCCGCTGAGCATGCCTGAAACACCCCGGGGGGGTTCACTGATGCATCCCAAATCCTTCAAGGCCTCTGTGGTACATGGAAATCAAAGCCCTGCATCCTTGCTGAGACCTGAAAAGCCCAGCTCCTGTCTGTGCAAAGGCTGGCATCGGGTCACTGCTGGAGCAGCACCCATCCAGTGCACCAGCCACGTGAGGCAGTGTGCAAACAAGGTCATTCCCAGCCAGCCCAACCCCGGGACAGCAGCGATTTCCTTTCCAGTACCAGGTAACACTGCTCCCCCCTGTTCCAACACAGGTGATGTGAAGGGTGACATCCTGATAGATATTGGCAGCGGCCCCACCATTTACCAGCTCCTTTCTGCCTGCGAGAAGTTTAATGAGATCATCGTTTCGGACTATGCGGACCGGAACTGCCAGGAGCTGGAGAAGTGGCTGAAGAAGGGGCCGGGAGCGTTTGATTGGACCCCGGTGGTGAAATACGTGTGCGAGCTGGAGGGACAGAGGTAGGAGGCTTGGCTGCTGACACACCCTTCAAGGGAAGGGGCCTTTCCTTCCTTTTTTTTTTGGAGGGAATGAGGATTTTTGGAGAATCAGTAGGCTAAAGGTGTCAATAGGAAATTAAAACTATTTAATTTGCTAAGGCAGTGACAGAGTTTAAGTTAGCCAAGGGAGCCCAGGACAATAAGAAGTCCTTTAGGTATGTAGGGAGCAGAAGGAAAACAAATGTTAGCGTGGGGACCCTGCTGAGCACCTCGGGACAGCTGGTAACGGGCACTCAGGAAACAGCTGAACTCCTGAATGCCCACTTTGCGTCGGTGTTTCACCAGACCAAGGGGAAAGACAAGCGAGAGACAGCTCACAGGGGCATGGTGGGATTGGCAGCCTCCCCACTGTGGGTGCCGAGCGGGTGCAAAACCAACCAGAAAAGCTAGCCATGTATAAATCAGCAGGACCGGATGGACTACACCCGAGGTG